GAAAATGACCCGAAAAGCCCACACGGCCCGACCATTTGGGGCGGGTTTGGGCAAAAATTCCGGCCCGAGAAGTGGGCAAATTTTTTTAGCTCCTGCCCGGCCCGTCCAATGATCACCTCTTCTCTTAGGTTGAGCCACTTTGAGCCGTGATTACTCTTTTCTTGATGCCTTACGTTAAAGCCATAGAGCCTTTTTGTAAGTTTTACTTTGAAGGTGAATTATTGTATATTTCAAGCCCCATTGAGTGACGTGTGGAATGAAGTGTTCAGTGCAAGAAAAAACAGAGGAAAAAAAAAAGAACTCTGAAAAAGAGAAAAAAAATTGAGTTTAGAAAAAAATTTAGTTGAAGAAATATAGCAGCAAAAGAAGAAAAAGGGAACAATTATAGTCTCATTCGTGCTACTATGTCAGAAGGAATTCTCAAAAAAAGAAATAAAAACAAAAAATTCAAATGAGAGTTCCAAGAGAAAAATGAGTCTCAAAAGAAAAGAAAAAGGAAAAAAAAAAAGTGTGAAATAAAAGGGCAACTTTGTATATGAAGTTCGGAGGATAAAAGTGGGAATAGAATTGGATTATGTAGTGGGAATAGAATTTTTTATTGTTTTTTTAGCACCACATTCCAAATAACATCATCCAATCTTGCTACTAACCAAGCCTACCCTTTTTAAGAAATTCTTGATTTCCGTGGTTGCGTCTTCTTTTTACAAGTGCAGAAAATCTATTAGCAAATCTAAAGAGGATAATTCCATGAAGTCGACGTGCATAATTGCAATTAGGATGAGTGATTTCTTATTTTAACCCTTGTAAAGACATGAGTGCCTTGTTTGTTTTATTTTGCACAACTAAAGTAATATGCTATTCATATATGACTGAGTTGGTTAGGGGAGATGTGTGGTAAGATTGGTTGTCAATTCCGAGTGCTTGAAGTTTATGGTGGTTCTATAATCAATGACTTACATTTCTTGTTTTTCACTTGGTTTTAATTCGTTGGCACATGTATTCTTGCTTGAGGGGAAATCCAACTCTTCTTGTGTTCCACGGTTCAATGCTTGAGGACAAGCATTGGTCTAACTTGGGAGAGTTTGTTAAGTCGTGTATTGTGCATGATTTTAGGGTCTTTTTAGGTAGTTTTCAAGTCTAGATTAGTTTTTCATAGCTTGTTTTGGCTTGATTTGGTTTGGTTGTGATCATATGATGCTTTTATGGGTAGATTCGTTGTTTTTGATGTATTTCAGGATTTAACGAAGCTATTTGAAAGTTTTACGAAGTTGCGGATCTTGATCATAGCTTGCAATTCGCTTAGAAGGCCAATGTTTGAAGTTTTATTTGAGGCATGCCCATGCCTCGTCGAGTGGAGTTGTCCCAGCGAGACACGCCCATGCCAAGATGTGACACGCCCATGTCTTTACGAGTGATGTAGCTGCAGTGGGTGCCATTCCAGCGAGATGCGCCCATGTCAGAATTAGACACGCCCATGTCTCGCTGGAAGTTGAAGAAAAATTGTTTCTGACTTTAGGCACGGGCATGTCCTGTGTGGCACGCCCATGCCTAGACGAATTTGATCGATTTTCATCCGATTTCTTCCTTATTTTATCCTATCTTTTAGCTTTATTATAAATACTTTTAGCATTATAATTTCATTATCTATCATCTTAGAACCCTAGTTTTCTCTCTAGACTTTATTTTCATCGTAATTTAAGAATATGCACTCAAGATTCTTCATTTATCTCTCGTAATTCAAGATTCGGTATTTTCTTATTCTCTTTAATTCCTTTGATTGTTAATTATGTTTTTCTTAATTCTTGTTATTGTTTTCATTACTATGTGTAAGTAGTTTCTTTATTCCAAGATCTAGTGGAAGCCGAATATGATTAATGCATGATTTAATTCTTTAAATTCTCTAATGATAATTGCAATTGATATGCTTAACCGATTGTGCTCATGCCAATACTAGATTAGGGATAATTAGTATTGTTATTAATCCATTGTTTTTATCGCAACGGGAGTTGGGTTTTAACGGGTTTGAATAAATCAATTAAGGGTTTTAAGTTCATCACGAGAGTAGTTGAATGGATGATTAGGAAGTTAGAGTAATGTGCTCAAAGTCTTTAATTTACATGATTCCACGGAAGTAGGCTTGATTGTGATTAGAGAAGCCATTGATAACTCAGGAGAGACCATTGATACTATTTAGGGATTACTTTTCCTCATTGAACGACTATTGCGTTAATTGTATTTGTGGTGATGCTTGATCTTGGATGTTTTTAGCATTTGATTTGTCATATTATTTAGCTTTAATCGTTTTAATTATTTTTAGTTATTAATTCTCACTATTACTTTGGTTACTTGCTTAGTATTTATTTGAGTCTGTCTAATTAGTCAAACCATAAGTCTCTCGGGATTCGATAGTAGTGGTCTTGTAAGTTATTTTTGTTAGGTACGCAACACGCCTACCAATAGAAGATTCAATTTGAAAATCACCGAATTAATTGTTCCAAGACTTGATAAAAATTTTATGATGTCCACCATAGATGGACTACAACATACAAGCAAAACATCTACCATTATAATGTTCCATGAGTAAAGCTCATCCATCAGCAACTTTGACATAGCAATTCTACCACCCATAGAAATGAAATGTTACATATCAATAAATCTTTCCTCAATTTTGTCTAAAATCTATATTCCTTTCCCCTTACTTCCTCCTAGTTCTTGTACTAGGAGCCTTCCTCGCCGTCTCATCGACATTCATCGGTGCCACCGGAAGTGGAGGCTTCTTGGCGGTGCTCCTCAAAGCATACCTTGGGTGCTCGCTACGATCCACAGAAGAGTAAGTAGCCGCCGCCATCATCGTCTTTTTAAGACTGTCAGCCTTCTTCCTAGTATCCTTCTTCTTAGTAGTAGAATCAAGTTTAACACCCAAATTATAAGCAGGTTTAGGCTCATCATCTGTTTCACTCTGTTTCTTCCTTAGCCTTTCATTCCTTCTCTCTGAATAAGCATTGTAAAATCGACCCCTCTCAAACTGATTAGTACCTCCAATTGATGAATGACTGCCAAATTCAGTATTTTTCGTGTTGATTGCGCTGAGCTCGTCTTGAACCATCTTTGCTAATGCCCTCAATTCACAAGAAACTGTGTTGTTTTCTGGCATATTTTCTGATCCTTTCATCTGGGATTTGTTCATCATAGCTGCAATTACAGATATTTTTTTAAAAAAATAACAAAATTAGCCCATATTAAAGCATATAATACATATTCTGTTGAAAAACAGAGTATAATAATATAATCATCACACAAAAATAATCAGAGCCCTGAAAAGCATACCTTATCAAATTATACGGTTTCATTTCTGATTAACAATAAATTAATTCATTTTCTTTATAATTCCAAAGTTTTTAAATATAATTAGAACCCAGAAAAAACAATCAAAAAATTATGTAGGTTCATTTCTGATTAACAACAATTAAAGAAAAACAAATATCAAGAACACCCAAAATAAAGAAAAAATCCATCAGATTTTCTTGGATACATTCCAAGTCAGATATAATTTTGACATACACAACCTTATAGTCTAAGTGTCTAACTACACACGTCGATTGGTGTTATTAATTAATGATTACAAATAAACAAACGGTATCATCAATTTTCTTGTACTAAATTACATTTCACCAATTATATATATCATCAACCCACCAACAAAAAAAAAAAAAAAAAAAAAAAAAAAAAAAGAAAACTTTGAATTGAAATTAACCTGGTGTTCGAAGAGGGGTGTTGGCGATGATATTGGAATTGGGTGGTTGAAGAGGACGACGGCCGCGAAGCGTCATCGGAGATCTTGCAAGCGGTGGTTTCCGATCAGATTTCATCCTGAAACAACAAAACATACAGAGAAAAAAAAGAGCAACAAAATGGGTATTAATAAATATAATTCCAAGATTTATAAATGAGAAAAATAATGGAAAATAAAGTAGCATAAGTATGAAAGATAGAATTTTTAATTAATTTTGACCTTGAAAAATTTGAAGAACTTGGTCTAACAAGTTTTACTGATTCTGAAATTAGGGTTCTAGTTTTGGGTTTTTGGTTTGATGATTGTGGACGTTTGAGAAATATTATTGTAATGGAATTACAGTGACAACGGGCGGCTGTTTGAAATTTTTAAAGGTGTAGGAGCGTGTAACGGTCAAGTCAATCCGACGGCTTGGGATTATTTTAAGTTTTTTTGGACGGATGGATTATCACCTTCCATGTTTAGGATGATATTTAAAAAGAAAAAAAGAAAAGAAAAGAAAAGAAAGAGCTACGATCCACGTCATCGGCTAGAAGACCAAATATTAAAAACAATAAAAATAATATAAAAAATAAAAATAAAAAGAAAGAAAAAGAAAAAGAAAAAGGGATGTACTCTGTACTGTGTTTAGTTCTACAAAGGCCAGTTTTAAGGCAATATCCATTAAGCTACTCCATATTTGCTTTTTAGTACGTTGTTATTATTGGTAATTTGTATATCGACCCAAGGTGATCCATTGATTTGTAACTCGATCTAATTCGACTCATCATTGTTAACTCATCTTAATATTAAATAGATTGGTAAATATCAACCCAACTTATTTTTTACTTAATTCTGAAACAAGTTCAATCAAAATTAAGCTCAAGTTTTGTCCCCAAAAGAAAAAAAAAATAAAAAAAAAAAAAAAAAAAAAAAAAAAAAAAAAAAAAGAGCTCAAGTTTAATTTGATTACTGTGATAAAACTACAAAATTGTTTTACTAACATAGGCTTTGATTTTGGCTTAACAACACATTGTTACATTTTGTTCTTATCATAACAGTTGAATTATTTGAATTATAGAAAGCGTAATTACATAGGTTCAAACTTGAACAAATTAATATTGATTCAACTTGAATGTGACTTAAATTCAAAGATGACCTGGACTCAAATTTACTAGCTAGGGAACCACCCAAACTTGACTCGATACAACTCAGGGTAATTAAGCCCAACCTGAATTTGACTTGAATCGAAGTCAGCTTACTTTCAAAAGAGTCAATTACCTAACATAACATGACCCAACTTGACCTGACCCGAACCTAAACCCGAGCTAGAGGCTAGATTGACTAAACATGACTTAATCCAAGTTTGACTCGCAACCTAAATTGACCTGACCCCAACTTGGCCTAAATACTCAAATTAACAGATTAAATTGGAACTTGTGAGCGTCTTGACTTTTTGGCATAGCTCCTTGCTGAAATTTTACTTTCACAATTACATATTGGTAACAAAACTCTTCGATTTGATTTATTCGTTCTCTCCCATGATTACATGATGAAACTGCAATTACATAACCATGTAAGCAATCTAGCTACTTATTTACACTAAGAGGTAGCCACGAACAAAAGGAAAGTGCGTGGATGACAGAAGAGGTACACTGATTTTAAAGTCACTTGCTGTGGAGGGATTACAATCTGAGTCACCGGGCTGTCCACTAACCATGATCTTTTCTGTTGATGGAATATCCTCTAAGCTTGGAGCAGCACTTTTTTCCACGGGAGCTGATTTTTTTAGTACAGGGCTAACATCCTCGGCTCCATCAGTCTCTTCTTCTAGACTATCAGCAACAATGGTAGTGGTTGCGACAGTCTCATCTGGATAATCTTCTACTCTGTAATATGCCTATGGAACAAAGGAGATAGTTAAAAAATGGCTGTACTTATAGGAATGAACATATACTTTGTTACTCAATAAGACCAGGGCAAGGAAAACAACATAACCAGCTTGACAGTTGCACCATTGACGTGGTGCATTGATTATCTTCCAACCACTCAACAATTAGAAAACTAAATTTCTCATTATTGATTCTCAAAATCACAACCGCCCAATCATTTAGGCATCGTGAGATTGTTGTACTGCTAATTAATGTAGCAAGAACTTGATTGTGCAACACAACCATTTATTTGGCAGAGATATGACTAGCTCTTGATGTGTATAGAGTTCATAGGTTAGTGGAAAAACAAGGCAGTCTCACTAGAGGTGTTTGTGTCGTGTGCACAATCCTGTTCACCCCCATCCTCCTCCCCCAATAGGACTTCAAAATATTGTGGGTTGGCGATTAATGGGATTATCTGAAGTCAAGCTGATTCTTAACAGCTGGGCAACCAACAAGAAGCAAAGATCATCATTCCGATTGGCAGCCCTCAACTTCTCTCCTTTCTGTTCTATTTAACCAAAAGATACTCAAGTTTGGTTCATTAATGAATCAGTAGTAAATTTTTTTATTATTAGGCAGATAGAACTGAAAGAGTAATGTGAAATCATCTGAATTTATGGCCCTAAAGAAAAAAAAAATTTATGCATTAATCAAAACCAAGAGCACCACATAATCACATTTCTTGATTCTGGCTGAGACTTGAGGATTTTAAAACACAGCTACTATGTTAACTTTGGAAACAGGCAAAATCATAGATGTCTGACAGCATAAAGTTTATTTTAAGCTAGCAGATGAACTACCTGTCAAAAAAAAAAAAAAAAAAAAAAAAAAGCTAGCAGATGAACTATGTTTGTTTTCATCCAATGTAGCAAGAGAGTAAAATGTGTAGATGCATACCACACATGTACGAGCTGGTGATAGGACTTTAAAGGAATTAGGACGGTTGTTGAAATTTGTTTCAGGAACTCCTGGTATTCCTTCAGGATTTGTGAAATGATCAACGTCATGACCCACCTGCATATAAAAAAAAATATTGCACACAATTGCTCATCCATGGTCAAACAAAGGTTAAAATTTAATTGAGTTTTAAGTTATATGAAATCTTCTTGTTTGAGAAGCCAATACAATATGGTGTACAACCAGCTACATCCTTAGTCCTTACCCTTCCTCTTCCACCGAAGTCCAAAGCATCACTATCAAGTGCAACACGATACTTTCCAGGCAGATCACACCCAATTTTGTAACTGCATATGAAAATCACACATAAAATAATTCTAGAAAGGGAAATTTGTGGGAAAATCATCAGCAAAATAGTTAAATAACTTATGAAAGATTTATTACAAAAATGATTAGAAGCATTAAAATTCTCACAACATAAATATCACATGAGAATTTATTTACCCTTCGTATGTATTCTCTGGATGGAAGTTGAAGACAAAGACCAAATCGCCTCTCTCAAACACAATAACCTGTAAAATTTTGAATATATGTCATATATTGTACAGGGAATTGTCATCATTATTATGTCAACGATGTGAGTACTTTTGCTGCAAATTAATGAATTGCATAGACATCAGCTAAAGGCTGCACATATGAGAATTGAAGTTTGCTTCAAGTACCCAGTACCTTATCTTCTTCATTTGTACTGCTGACTATTTGTTTTGATGAAGAAAGAAACGAAAATTTCTCATCCAACAAATTCATGGCACGATTGAATGCATTCAGGAACTGGACAGAAGAAAACCAAAAACTGTGATTAAGACCTCATTTCTAAAAACATCATTTGATGTTAATGACAATCAGAAACTCAGAGAGTAGATGACCAGCCAGCTCTCATGTTTTATGTCTAACTCTAGAGCACTCAAGAACACAGTTTGAAGCTTGATCGCTTCAAAATGGTAAAATGTCTTTTGTGTTTCAACAGGTGTGTGTGCTTTTTCTCTCTCTCTCTCTTTTTTTTTTTTTTTTTTTTTTTTTTTTTTTTTTTTTTTTTTTAAATGAAGACAGGTGTGGATTTTAATACCTTGTATCTCAGGTGATCTGTATCAAGCAGGTTCCACTGACGTCTGCACATGTCATAATTCCAACCATTTCCTTCTCTGGGGAAGTCAATCCATTCAGGATGGCCAAACTGGCAATCAATAGAGGATGCATTACAACCCAAGAAGAAAAACATAAATTATACAAAAACATTATGTTCTGATTAAGTTATTAATTGATGCATTACATTACTCTGAACTCAAACAGGTTTTCCATACATTGTAGAAGGTATGTAGACATGTAGTTTTATCCCTTTAGACATCACAACACTTTCTTAGAAAGAATGGAATCCTGTAGGCCCTAGATCCAACATTTTAACAAGATCTCAGCGACTCAGCCTCAACTGCTTACCTCATTACCCATGAAGTTAAGGTAACCTTCCCCTCCAAGGGCCATTGTAATAAAATGTATCATCTGCAGAACAGTTGAATGATTCTTAGAATAATATCCAAATCTAGCCTTCAGGATAAGAAATTTAAGAAAAATTTACCCTTAATTAATTTAGATTATTATGTAGAAAAAAAAAAGTGACAGAAAGCAAACCTTATGAAGTGCAATCCCTCTGTCAACTATGGGAGAAGCTTCTGTCAGGCAGGACATTCCAGTATACATTTCTTGATCCATTAGCAAAAAAGCCATTGTTTTATCTCCAACTATTCCCTGCAGAAAATGAAATTAAAATCATCAGACATGTATAATTAAAGGATATAATAAAGGAAAACGACAGATAAAAAAAATATATATATTGACTTTACAAGAAATACAAACATGTACTCTTTATTCGTATTCAGTAGTCCAAAAGTGAAAGGAAGTGCTTTTTGTAATTCTTGAATTATGAAGCGAAGTGAAGATTATTTTCAAGACAATAGTATTTTAACTAAATAAGCTGCAAAGAGGCATCCATTTCACAGAAAAAAAAGAACATGGACCTGATCATGACTTTCAGCATAAGCTACACACTTCTCAGTGTATCTTCTATTAGTCAAGCTTAACATGATTTCATTCATGGACCATTCTTCATCCTTCTTATTTTTCAGGTAGTCAATCCACTTGTCAGGAATAGCCATTGCTAGGCGATAGTTAAACCCAACTCCCCCTTCAGAAACAGGGCGACATAATCCAGGCATACCAGAAACATCTTCTGCAATAACTGTAGCATCAGGAAAAATATTGTAAATCAAACGATTGGCCAGCATCAGATAAACCACTGCGTCAACATCTGTTGCCTCACTGAAATACTCATTATAATTTCCAGAGAAACCCATGTTAATTCCATGATGGTGATATAGCATGGAGGTTACTCCATCGAAACGAAAACCATCAAATCTATACTCTTCAAGCCACCACCTTACGTTGGATAAAAGGAACCGAAGAACTTCCCAGTTTGCATAATTGAACAACCTGCTATCCCAAAGCTTATGATAACCACGGTCTCCAGTATGAAAGTATGACTCCTGTGAGCTTTGTCCAACATCGAAACCATTCAAACCGTCGGTAACATTGTTGCTGGCATGGCTGTGAACAACATCCATCAATACTCGTAAACCTAAGCTGTGAGCCTTGTCAATCAGATACTTAAGGTCCTCAGGGTTTCCAGATCTACTGCTCACGGCAAAGAAGTTTGTCACATGATATCCAAATGAAGCATAGTAGGAATGCTCCATGACGGCCATCAACTGCACTGTATTATAATTGTTTGCCTTAATGCGAGGCAAAACGTCATCTGCAAATTCCCTATATGAATTTACACGTGGCTCTGAGCTACTCATTCCAACATGGGCCTCATATATTCGAGGAGCTTTTGGTTTTGGAGGACGAGGATGCTGAAATTGGTAGCTTGCATTATGAAAAATAAACTGAGTTAGCAAATCTCACTCCATTATATATAATGCAGTTCTGTGTGGATTTAACCAGTACCTTTCTTCAGGA